GCATTTAAAAACCCACTGAGTAATACTCAAATCAGCATCTGATATGCAAGAGAGGTTTTAAAAAATATTTGAGGAAGTGGAAATCAATTTTTCCATCATTCAGCATCACAGTTTTCCACTAGTTCTTTATATTGGTACAAGTTATTTTGAGTTGTACACTAATTTTCATTTTGCATTTCAAATTTGAGATTTAAACTTAAGACTTGTAAGACTGAGATTTAACATTTAACCTGTGTTTATTCTTCTGTTGTTCTTCATGTCTTCCTTTGTTTCTGTTCTCTCCGGGATTCTTTTCCTAGTACCTAAAATTCTGTTTAGTATTTCCTTTGTTGTGAGACTTCTGGCAAAGAATTCTCTCATGTTGTTAGGGTTTTTATTTTGCAATCACTTGTTGGATATTTTTACTGGATATAAAATTCCAGGTTGTCAATTATTTCCTTTACATTTTGGTTTCTGTCATTTCTGTTGAAAAGCCAGCTGTCTTTTTGTTGCTTCTTTGAATAGAAAGTTTCTTCTGTCTCTCTCTCTCGCTCTCTCTCTCTCTCTCTCTCTCTCTCTCTCTCTCTCTCTCTGACTGCTTTTAAAGTTTTTGCTTTTTCCTGTTTGGGCTTTTTTTTTTTTTTTGTAGGTTTTCTTTGTATTTTCTCCTGTATGGCATTTTATAGCATTTACTGCATATGTTTATTGTTGGTGTCTTTATCCGTTTTAGAACATTCTCGGCCATTGTCTCTTCAAATATTGCTTCTTCCCTGTTCTCTTTCTACATACTTTGGAATTCTAAATGCATATTAGAACTTTTTATTGTGTCCCCATGTCTTTTATTTTTCTGAATTTCTCATCCTCTTTGTCAGGCTGCAGTCTGGGATATTTTCTACTAACCCGACTTTCAAATATTGTCTTCTGCTGGGTGCAATCTACTGTTAAACTCATCTATTGAGTTTCTTCATTTTAATTATTGCAATTTTTACTCCTAGGAGTTCCATAGTTTGTTTATATATTTTCAGTAGATTCTAGCTTTCTGTGTATCACCATTTGTTTTCATGAATACAATAATCACAACTATTTTTAAGTTCATATTTGATAACTCAAATATCTGTGGGCCTGTTTCCTTTGGACTTATTTATTTGATACATAATGGACTCAATGGTGAACATAGTATATAAAAATTATGGATGCTTTCTATGACCCTATTTCTTTCTTAGGAAGCTTCTCCCTTTCCTTTGATGTGCCTCCTGAGTGGGTGAATTGCCATCATTGAGTCAGGGACAGAACTGACCCAAACCTGAGTTGCAGTTTATATTAGCCTCAGACAACTCTGACTCATCCTAGGTTGTAGCTCTGCGGGACTTAACGGTGGGTCTTCTTCCTTGCTGGAAACTGATACCTGATTTTTGCCTCCTTAGCTGGGTGAAACAGCCAAAATCTCCTTGTGACTTTCAAGGGCTTTCTGCTTAACTTGTTCTCTTGACCTGTGTAGCTTAAGAACTTGGCATACACCCCAGCAGAAATGCTAGAGTATCTGGCTCACCTCTCTGTGCCTGCCTACTCTCTGGAAGTTCGACCATAATTTCTGGGTATCTTTGTAGCCGTAAACCCCAATTTTTGTTTCTCTAATGCTATGAGATTGCCGAAAGTTATGGAAGCAACTTTGCCCTTAGGTCCTTGCCTCTGCTGGGATTACATTCCTCTACATTCCAGCTAAGAATTGGCAAATCCTTTGAGAGGAGAAGTGGTCCCTGGTTATCAGCTCACGTCTCTGCAGTTCTCTTCTCTGAGATCTCAGCCCCTCAAGTTTGGGCTGCTGCATTAGCAGCTCTCCAATACCTTCAATAACATTTTTTGGGGGGTCAGTCTCACTCTGTCACCCAGGCTGGAGTGCAATGGCATGACCACAGCTCACTGCAGCTTCCACCTCCTGGGTGCAGGCAATCCTTCTGCCTCAGCTTCCAGAGGAGCTGTGACTACAGATATACACAACCACACCAGGCTAATTTTTGATTTTTAGTAGAGATGAGGTCTTTGTTTCTAGGCTGGTCTTAAACTCCAGGGCTCAAGCAACCTCCTGACTTGTCCTCCCAAAGTCCTGGGATTGCAAGCCTAAGCCACCACTCCTAGCCAAAATGGTGTAGTATTTGCATATAACCTATGCACATTCTCCCATATGCTTTAAATAATCTCTAGATGACTTATAATATCCAATACTGTGTAAATGCTATGTAAATAATTGTCATACTGTATTGTTTAGGGGAAATGCCAAGGAACATAGTCTGTGCATATGCAGAACAGATGTAGTATTTTTTTTTTTCTGAATATTTCTGGTCATGGTTGGCTGGAGTTACGATGTGGAGCCCACACATATGGAGGGCCAACTGCAGTTGAACAGGGCACTGAGAGGCCTGAACTTTGTGCTCTTTTCATCTGTCCAATGGGACAGTCATGTCTGCCCTTCCTTCCCTATCTTGCTTTGAAAATAAATGAAACCGTTGAATTTGAACCTGGCAAACTTATGGACTCTTACTGCATTTATAGATTTGAAAGAGTGAAAAAGCATTTTTGAACTCCCAAGAGAAATGTAGCCTGCCCAAGATGTTACTTTAATAGCAACACCAGAGCAGGATGCTATCAAAAGTTAGCAGAACTGGAAAAAAATATAAATAAATCTTGCTTGGTGACAAAGAAAATCACTCGCTTAGGAAGGCTCACACAGTCTGAGAGAGTCTGGTGGTAGTGTAGGCTATTTACCTGTTATTAACCTATTGGTCACTGTCTGTTGTGTGAATAGATTTTCTGATCTTCTTGTGGAGGCCATGGTGACCCCAGTTCCAAGATGTGACAGAGTAACAGGACCTGCTTTTAAAACAGGGTAGTGGGGACAAGCAGAGGGAACAGTGCCCAAACACATTACTGCCTTCATCTGGGATTTCAGTTTTCGGTTTTTTCTGTAGTTGTCTCCATAGTTTGACTTACCGGGGAATAAAATGAGCGAACACTTGTTAGCATTTCTCATACCCTTACTCATCCTTATCTCAGATTTTTTGAGTAACTTTATCATTAAGTTGCTTCCTCAAAGATGGGTTCTCGAAATAGCCTGTTTCACTTATTAACTGCATTGCCCTGCCTAAGACACGAAACACATTGTGCCTTTGTTCATCACTGAAATGAAAGGATAAAATGAATCCTTACCCTGCTCACAGGGTGCTCGTGAGATGTAAGTGTCCGAGATGAAATGTGCTTTGTCACATCTGAATCTTATTAAGGACTTGGATGGATAAATATACTTTTTGGACCAGAGTACGAGAAAGTAAACTGCAGCATCATTAGTTTAGTAATTTAAACTATTAGACTTCATAGAAATACTTTTTGGAAATGCCCACAGTTTTGTATCATGTGCTCTTTTGACCACAGGGCCCCACCATTAGCTCGACTTGAGAATTGATAAATAACCTCATCATGACAGAAATGCCGACAGGAATTTTCAGGGCTTCAAGGGATTTTCAGAGCTTGGGACTGATCTCCCATTCAGGGATCTTTACCAACATTCGTCTTTACATCGGGCCAGAGTGACAGTTTGGACATTTTGCTATCTGGTGGCAAATAGCAACTCTAACCTCTTTCAAACTGCCTGCCTTGTTTACTGTTCTCCAGCTTTTTCTTCCTCAGATCCCACCAACTTGTCATTCTCACCATCATCTTCATTCCATTCTTCAAGGGCGCTTACAGTGTATCAGGAAGCCTTGGGAGTACTTTACACAAGGGAATTCACTTAATTCTCTCAGCAGCCTCCTTTTAAAGATAAGGAGACTGAAGTGAGGCCCAGGAAGGTTGAAGAACTTGTTCAGATTTCTATAGCAAATTGTAAAGCAGGTATTTAAACCAAGGTAGTCTGGCCTCAGAATTCCTGTCTTAGCAATTGTGCTGAGCTGCCTTTCTGGCATTGCTCCCTGTGTCTGGTCCTGGGGGTGATGGACCATCATCCTGAATGTTGAAATCCTGAAAGATCAAAATCCCTAAAGTTATATTTTTGGGATTTTGATCTTTTGGGATTTCGATATTTAGGATGATGGCATTTGAGATTGTGTCTTTTGGGATTAATGATTGGCACCAGGTCCCAGAAATCTCCAGAGAGACTAAAAATTTCTACAAAACCTGCGTTGACTCCCCTGAGGGTTTCTTGCAGATGAAAGAAGAAGAACAGTAAGATTCCATTCAGAAGCATTTTCTTGGTATCACTGACATCTATCCTTCTGATTTCTGTTTCTCCCAAACAATCCTTCCCTTTCTTAGGATGCCTGAAATGGACAGGGACTTCTTTGGGAGAAAATACTGAACCGTTGGGCCTGGCTGAATTGGGGACATGCAGGGCCTCGGCACTATGGGCCTCTGGAAAGGGGAACTGAAAGTCTCTCCCGGGGAAGAGGAAAGGCCTAGGCAGCCAAGGTCGGCGTCTCTAAGGAACTTCCACCACTGCATTCTCCTGTGCTCCGGCCAGATGGAGAGGTGGAATGGCAAGAGACCAGGAGAGCCTATAGCAAAACAGCCAGGCGGGCCCATGTCATTTCCAGAGGTCGCTGCTGTGCCATTAAGGGCTGGCAAAAGGGGGCAGTCCATCCAGGCCTCAGCTGGCTGGGAGGGGCTGATGTGACTTGGAGACCACACAGGCACCAGAGAGCTGCTTCCTCCATCCTGATTTTCTGACCATAGAGAGGGCAAAGGTGCAGGATGGCGCAGGTAAAACCTTGAAGTCTCACTTTTATGAATCTGTATTTCAAAGTGGGATTGCACCCTAGGTCTGCACCCTAAAGATATCGGTGTGGGTGCTCTGCCTCAGACAGGGATGACTTGGGAACTAAAAGAGGGAGAAGGAGGTTGGTGAGTGGATCCAGTTGTGCAGAGCTAGGGATGGGATCCACAGAGGGGAAGGATAGAAATGGACATGCCCATGAACCTGAATCTTGACGCCCTGCCGGCTTTACTTAACAATTTCTGCTCATCTTTTCTAGCAGCAGCGTCCTTGTTAAACGGATGTTCAGACCCATGGAAGAGGAGTTTGGTCCAGCACCTTCTAAGCAGATGAAAGAAGAAGGAATGAAGAGAGGTACCTCTCCCGCTGGGGCACACCCTGCTGGCAGAAATGAGGGCATCTCACCAAGAAGTGCTTACAAGCCTGCCCAAGTCCCTGTGGCTGCGTTCCAGTCTGGGGACTTTGTATTCACACAGGAAGGCCACAGTCCTCTCCTTTGCTCTAAACTCTGTTTCTTTAAGTACCCTAAGTAGATGTCTGTTCTTTCTGGGCTCTGGCTCTTTTCTTTGAGGGGAATGTAAAGAATATACTGACTCATCCGGCAGTGAGATACAATTAAAATAAAGACTAGCTGTGTGTGTGACAGTCGTGCCTCATAAGAAACAGTGATGGAGACTCATTCAATAGATGCAATGAGTCACCTCACACAAATCCATGAGCATCAGGTTTCTGTGACATCACTACTTACTCATTTCTCTCAGTCAAGGATCTTACTCCACTTCACCAAGAGGCTTAGACAAAGCCCGAACATGTCCATATCCTGCCCAGCATGTCAGTGTCACACACAATTCATTGCCTTCCCAAAGAGCAAGAGGAAGTGTAGGTGGCCTCTTCTCCTTATATCCTGGTGTAGCCAATGCTGAGGCTTCCAGAGACTTTAGACCTAGACCGTGCTGGACTTTTATTTATGTATTTGTATTTATGTATGTATGTATGTATGTCAGGGTCTTACTCTGTCCCCCAGGCTGAAGTGCTGTGGGCATGATCAAGATGGTCATAGCTCATGCAGTCCTTCTACCTCAGCCTCCCGAGTAGCTGGGACTACAGGTGGGACTATACCACTCCTGGCTCATTTTTTGTTTTTTTGTAGAGGCCTCAGCTGGTCTTGAGCTCCTGGGCTCAAGCAGTCTTCCCACCTCGGCCTCCCAAAGTGCTGGGATTACAGGCGTGAGCCACCACGCTCGACCTAGTGCTGGGCTTTTAAGGAGTCAGTTCACCATGTTAAATATGCCCACCATACACATAGGCTTGAGTTCTTTGTTGTCTAGAAAGTTTTTTCCTTCCTGTTTGTTGTAATGAGAATTGCACAGTGTTCAAGAGCACCCCCTCTGTAGCCTACCATAGTCACCCAGAGGTGTTTGGCCTTGGAATAGTTCCTCAGAAGTCCTCACCTCTGAAATGGGCATGACAAGAAAAATCTGCCTCCTAGAGGTGCTATGAAGAGTGATGAGTTAATACTTGTAAGACACTGACTGCAGGTGCCAAGCACATTGTGAGCGCTCTGTTCACTGTTAGAGATAAGTTATATATCACAACTGTGAACAAGTAATTCGAGTTCCAGAGTGAAAACAGAATAAATGCTTGAATGTTACATGAGCAACATTTAAACCTGTAGCAAATTTTCTGACTCCACAGACTCACTGTCAAATATTCACATACATTTGAACTCCATTCCTGGATGCTCTTTTTCTACTTTATACTTTTTAGGGCAGTTACATGGAAATCAAGAGTCACACAGGCAAAAGTAGTTGTCACTTGTCTTCATAGTTAATGCCCGGTGGTTAGTCCAAAGACTGTGCTTTTCAGATGATATTGAAATTGTGAAGCAAGCACAAATATTGCCAGTAGAAATTGTACCAGGCTGTGATGAATAGTTAAGGGTGTGGCCTTTGAAACATCTGACTCTTAGAGACACTTGAGGGCGCTGTCACCTACAACAGTAGAGAAAACATTCCCTGGGGTGAATTTCTCTGGAAAAGGACTGTGGAGTTCCTAAGCCCTTTGGTTTGGCGCTTTCACTGAGCTGATCTTTGACCAGCAGGGCTCAGTGCTTTGGTATTGTTTATGTGTTAGAATTTCCCTGAGAGAAAGAGAGAGATAGAACTACTGTAATTATCACCAATGCCATAATGACAGGCTGCCCCCTGTGCCTGTCTGTTTTGGGCTGCACAGTGCCTGGGCCCAGGATGGTTGTTCTTGTGATTACTGGCAGAGTGATTATTACTATTGCTCTGTCACAGACCCAGAGTTAATGAAAGCTCATGCCCTGAACAAGCCATCAGGGTGGACTGTGAGCCCAGCACGCCCAGCGTGTGGCTGTCAAGAGGCCCAGCAGGAGGATGGTGGCACTGCCCTGTCAAGTGCTTCTCCCACAGCCCATCAACTCGGCACCCCCTTTAACACCTTCCAGTCACATCTGAGGCAAGAGTAGCAGCCCTATGATTTCACAGACAATGATTTCAAAAGAAGAGACTTGTAAATGCAGTGAAAACAGGACTCGGGTCAACCTGCTGGAAATTACTTTTTTTTTTCCTCTTGAAGGCTGTGGAAAGAAGTTATAAAATATTCATCTGTAACTACCACCAATATTTTTTCCCCTTGACTTTAATTTTTCTTGTCTGGATTAATGAGGTCCTATATTCTAATTATTTTTCCTTATATTACTAACACTGAGTCCTCTTTGTAATAGCTGTTAGGTCACTAGATCATCCTAACTGAAATGAAGACTATAAAATATTCCTTTCATGGGACTAAATTTGGAAATATTTGGAGACATAGTCATCTATTTATTTAATTGGTACTTTACTTTTGCATTTGGTAAAGAAAAGAAATGGCAATACTTATATTTTTTTCCTTTTTCATACGCTAACTGAGCATCCACAGGCTGCAGAAAGAAAATGCAGACAGAACCTGTGTGTACCCACATAGACTTGGCTGTTGTAAATCAGGCAGCTTTAATGAAGTCCTTGGGGACCGGGAGGAGGGGGAGAAGGGGTGGGAATTTGGGTTAGAGCCGATTTCATGTCTGAGCTCCAAGTTGGTTCCTCTGGTTGATGGCAATTGTAACTCAGCTGGTACCAGATTGTTGCTGGAATTCAAGATCGGCAGGGTTTTTGTTTTGTTTTGTTTTGTTTTTGAGTTGGAGTCTCACTCTGTCGCCCAGACTGGAGTGCAGTGGCCGCTCCCGGCCACCGCAGCCTCGATGTACTGGGCTCAGGCGATCCTTCTGCTTCAGCCTTCCAAGTAGCTGGAACTACAGTTGTGTGCTACCATACCCGGCTAATTTTTTTATTTATTGTAGAGATGAGGTCTTGCCAAGTTGCCCTGGCAGGTCTCGAACCCGCGGGCTCAGGCAATCCACTCACCTCAGCCTCCCAAGGCGTGGGATTATAGGCTGAGCCACCAAGCCCGGTTTGGGGTTTTTTGACCTGTATATTTTTCCTCAATAGCCAGATGCACGGGGCTTCAGTCTTAACCTTTCCACTGGAAGGAAGCATCGGGAGTTACATTCCTGGGAGTGAGGAGATGGAAGGACAGCGAGCTAATGGCACTGAGGGCTGCAACTGCATGCAGCTCCAAGTTTTTTGGGGGAGCTAAGATGCAACACAACTGTTGTAAGGGTGGGGATAGGCTGGGAGGGCAATGGCCAGCAGAAAGGACAGCAGCCAGCAGCCATCATGTCTGCAGGACCCTGAGGGAGTGTCTCAACTTCTCCGGGCCTCTGTGTATACCTCTCTAGTGATATCTGGGGTCCCTACCATCCCTCCTGGGCTGAACATTCTCAAAGTTAGAATGTTTCTATTTATGTATTTATGTATTTCTTTTTGAGTTGGGTCTCACTCTGTTGCTCAGGCTAGAGTGCAATGGCACAATCAGTGCTCACTGCAGCCTTGACCTCTTAGGCTCAGGTGATCCTTCTGCCTCAGCCTTCCAAGTAGCTGGGACTACAGGTGCACACCATCACACCCAGCTAATTATTTGATTTTTTTTTTTCTACAGAGACGAGGTCTCGCTGTGTTGCCCAGGCTGGTCTAAAACTCCTGGTCTCAGGCAATCCTCTAGACTTGGCCTCCCAAAGTGTTGGGAATATAGGTGTGAGCCACCATGCCTGGCCTAGAATGTTACTTTGCAGAGAAATGGATTTTAAAAAGTTATATTGCACTTCACTGAGGGCGCTAGAACCATGATGACTGCTTCATCTGCTGATGGAGGGCAGGGTGTTCACAGAGAAGACCAAGGTTTGGGAGGTCAAGTGGCCAGAGCCCACAGCAGGGGCTGAACTGTAGGGTCACACCTAGACCTGTGGTACCCATGTCGTAAGCCTCTTCCTCCACTTGCCTCACATGGTATCCCATCTCCCTCCCAGACCTCTGCACCATCTGTCATCTGCCTGGAGTTTGCACTCCCTGTTCTCTCTTCTCCCTGCCCTCCCTACCCCCTCACCTGCCTGCATTAATGCACACACCCTTCACAGCTCAGGTCTGTCCTTCAGGGTAACCTTCCAGGAACTCCACCGCCCCCCCCAATCCAGGCATAGCCAGACACCAAAAGCACTGTCTTGTGTCATTTTCCTGCACAACCCTGCATCTATTTGTCTGTTTATTTGAGGAACACTCGCCTTTCTAAGTGAACCGCAGACATCTTTAGGGCAAGGGAGATGACTTAACTGACTCACTGCTACAACCTCAGCTCTCAGCATATGCAGCCTATGGGCCCAGGTGGGCATTCGGTAATATTCGTTGCATGAATAAATAGAAGAAAGAGGCTGCAGAAAAAGATGTCATAAAAAGACCATGTACCCTCCTTGAGAAATTCAAATGTGAATGTATGAGCTTGCAGAAAGAGATGTCATGAGGTGATCCTGTATCCACCTTGAGAAATTTGATTGTGAATATACGTGTTAAAGCATCTTAGGGTCTGGAAAGTGTTGCCCAATTATTGCTGTATCTCATGGAGTCGCTCTTCACAGTCCCTAGCCACGGGTTGTCTACAGAGGTGTCTCAGTCACCTTTGTAGGATGTTGACTGGGCCAGGGGTCCGAGGGGCGGCAGGGGGTGGCAACCTCCATCACCTGTGTGACGGGAAGCAGTCCCTTGGGCAGCTGTGGAAGGTTGCGGGTCCCTCCATCACATGTTGTTCCGCCCTTCTCTTCCAGTGCTGCTGTATGTGAGGAAGGAGACCGATGACGTGTTTGATGCTTTGATGCTGAAGTCTCCCACAGTGAAGGGCCTGATGGAGGCGGTAAGCCATGAGCCCCTCTCAGCCTGCAGCGGCCTGTTGGTGTTCCCTGGAGCCCGTGAATTAAAGTGTAGCCACTGAGGTGGCTCCAGAATAAACCTTGTAAAGAACAAGGAAAACCTGAGATTTGTGGGGATGCTGATCTCTTTACTGTCAAGCCTTATTAGCATCTCAAGGAGAAGGAAACCGAAACACTCCCAATTCCCTGTCAGTTTAAGGCTAATCATAGTAAGATGCCATGAAGGAAGGTGAAACCCTGAGTTCTCATTTGTCTTTTTGCATGAAACCAAATTAGATATGATTAACTTCTAAATACACACCAAACAAAAACAATTATGATGTGTCTTGCTAGCTATGATGTTGTAAGCCAAAATAAAAATTAAGACCTCATCGTCAATATCTAAAAAAAAAAAAAAAAAAATATTGCATGGGGCTGGGTGCAGTGACTCATGCCTGTAATCCCAGCATTTTGGGAGGCCAAGACAGGAGGACTGCTTGAGCCCAGGAGTTTGAGACCAGCCAGGGCAGTATGGCAAGACCTGCCTCACAAAATATAAAAAAAATTAGCCCAGCATGGTAACGTGTGCTTCAGCAAAGGCTGAAGGATCACGAGCCCAGGAGTTTGAGGCTACAGTGAACTATCATCATGCTACTGACCTCCAGTCTGGCATTGTCTCTTAAAAAAGAAAAAGAAAGAAAGAAAGAAAAAGCATATTGCAGAATTATAGTGATCTGGGGTAAGATTCTTCCCATCCCATCCCTGGACTAGTCTAGTATTAGCCACTTGGGCTCAAGAGTGTTGCTTTATGTTTTATTTATTTATTACTCACTTGAGTATAACTTCCATATGACTATGGGCATAACTTCTAACTCCCTTACATATTTTTATATTCCCCTACACAAATATGTTGTAGAAGGTCTAGGTTGTTTTGGGGTTGTGTTTTGTTTTGTTTCTTTCCAAATAGCGATAGAGACAACAGGACTGCCAGGGACACAGTCCAAAAATGTTGATTGGTTTGGAAAACTGCAACAATGGAATAGCATCTTGGGTTATGATATTAAGTGGTAAAATAAATAGGATAGTTCCTATAAGTGGAATCAGACAAGACCATATCTTTCATTTATGGTGCTCTTTTTTGAGGCTCATTGTGTAGTACAAATTCTTTTTTTATGACTGAATGATATTCCACTGTATGAATGTTGCACATTTTGTTTTTCCGTTCATCAGTTGATGGACATAGGATTTTTCCACCTGTTGGGTATTATGAATAGTGTAGCTGTGAACATTCATGTATATGTTCTTGTTTGAACACCTGTTTCTGATTCTTTTGGGTGTATTCTGAGGTATGATATAGCTGAGCCAGACACAAAAACGGTCACACATGGTATGGTCACTTATAGGAAATGTCAAAAACAGGCAAATCCTTAGAGATAAAAAGCAAGTTAATGGTTGCCAGGGGCTGGGGGCGGGAAGTGGAGTGACTGCTCAATGAGTTTTCTTTGAGAGGAATGGAGGTGTTTTAGACTTAGACATAGGTGATGGCAGTACAACATTGTGAATCTAGTAAATGCCACTGAATTATACACTTTAAAATGACTAAAATGCTGAATTGTGATATACGTGTGTGTATATACACACACACACACACACACACACAAACATATGTATATACACACACATACCTAGGGCAGTGGGGAATATATATATATGTATATATATATACATATATTCATTGTTCATCAGACATTTTTTAAAAATGTGTAGGGATGTTACCAAGGCAGATACTCACTGCCCTCTATGATCACACTGTTGACAAGCCCCCAGGCAACTCCGAGCAGGGTATCAGGGGTATCAAGGGCCTCCCTCTTAGCTGATAGGGACTAGGTCATCTTTTCCGTCCGACAGGACTTTTCAATGAGATCGAATTTGTTGTTACTGAATCTGCCTCATATAAAGGAAAAATAAAAACAAATCAATGCAACAAAGAATATGAGCTATATCTATATACGTCAAACGAATGAGGATTTTTAAAATGACCCTAAAACTGCCAGAGGATAGACTAATGAGCAAGAAAAGTCTAGAAAATATTCAGACCTTTCTGGACCACTTTGGACAATGTTATCCACAGTCTGGCCCTTAAAATTGTATTATTGAAACTGGCTTACTTGGGACAGTGGTGAATATGAGAATTCCAGAAACAGCTGCTGAAATGCATATATTCACTGACTTAACTCTGGAGATTCTGATTCTGCTGAATTGGAGGTGAAGTCAGGGCTGGGAGTGGGGATCAGGAATATGTATTTCTACTAACAATTCTGAGACGGATATTCTGAGACAAGCTAGGTGTGAGAACCTCTGCTCTAGACCGATTCTGAACTGATTTGTGGTACTATGACTCTTCCTTTTCCCTTGCTGTCTTTTCTTTTCTTTCCATGACATCTGGCCAGTTCTATAAGTGTTCTGTAGTTGTGGTCTGGCTGCACCATGGTGGAACGAAATGTCACCTTTACTCCCACTACACAGCATCATTCGACTGTTGATCCCTTTCAGAGGACACTCATTGTACTGACCTTGTTTTTTAGCTGGGGGTATGGGTGGTGGGTGGGTGGGGTAATACATAGCATAGCATCCTTTGACCCTGTAAGCTATGAAGAGGGCAAGTTTCCTAGGCTGGCTCTGGTCAGATTTCTTAGGACAATCCTGACTTTAGGTCCCCTTTAAGTCTGGAAAGAAAAAGTTTTGCTCAAAGCACCAATGCAAGATGCCCCCTTGCTTCCTAAGTTGTGCCAATGTGAAAACAGGACAGGAGAAGTTCCTTCAGGACCCTCAGGTGATGCACTGTGGTGGGGAACCACAAAGTAATGACACAGCAGCTCCGGCAACTTGGGGGCAGCTGTGAAGAACACCAGGCTCTGTGTAAGTGAGGACAGGAGCACACTATGAAATGAGGTGGTAGGGAAGAACACTGACTAGATCCTGCTCGAAATGGTTGTACCCTAAGTTTATTTGGGACCTGGGTGGGGTAAGAAAGGGCTTCTTTCAGGGTATTTTTCTCTAAACATCAGGACCTCACAAGTGTAGCTTATTACACCACACCAAGATTTACCAGTATACACTGGTATATTGTTTTATATATATGCGTGTGTATATATGACGTAAATATATGCAAATGACATATACACATGTGTATATCTATTCTGGTAATATGAAAACATGTAGTGGGCTGGGCGCAGTGGCTCACACCTATAATCCCAGCATTTTGGGAGGCCCAGGAGTTTGAGACCGGCCTGGGTGGCATAGCGTGACCTTGTCTCTACAAGGAATTAAAAAAATTAGCCAGGCATGGTGGCGTGCTTCAGGAGGCTGAGGAGTGAGGACTGATTGTTGGGAGCTGGCCACAGAGGCCCACTGAGCGTTAGGGATCAGGAAGGGCCGTTGACCCCGAGACCACTAGGATGCGTTCGGGAGCTATTGACCCCATTTCCTCCCCCTTTCTACTCAGCACTAACCAGATTAAGCTCCTGTGAGCTCAAAACATA